ATTATATTTACAAATACAAATAACTAAATAGCTAATAAGATAACATAATTATAAGAAAACATAAATACTAAATTAAAGATTATATTTTAAATAAGAAAATTATATTACTCAATTAATATTTTAGTTTTAAGTTATTTTAATTAAACTAAATTATTAAAACAGACTCGCGCGTAGCGCGAGTATAAAATCTAGTGTATATCAAAGATATTGTCAGTTTCTCGTCTGGGAGTGACCGGAACATATTTATTGGTATCTTACCTCACGACCCCATGTCAACTCTTATGTAAGTAATTTGTCCCCACTTAATTAGGTTTTAGTTGTTTATTAGAGCTCAAAACTCAAATGCATTAACTGCCTCGTTTCCAAACTCGCTCTTCTACATTATTTTATTTCAGGAAACACTAATTAATTAGCAGGAAAAGATACTACTTCAATTGTATCGACGTTAAGTTTATGTTTTAGAGCCGGTCATTTTGAGGATTGTGGAGAATTGAGTAAGAATTCGTACGTATAAAATTTTGTTTTAACAATTTTAAAATTGTACATCTTATATATTCATATAACTAAGTTTTCAATTATTAGAAATGCTAAACTTGTGTTTCATTTTCCTGTTTCAAGGACCAGTTTTAGTTCGTCCTGTTAGTATTAGTTACCAGTACGGCAGTACAGTAAATTCCATACTAACACTATAAATGTATAATTTAGTCTTAGTTTCCTAAGGTTTGTGTGTTTGCTTTCATATTGTTCTAAATAATAATTTACATATGAAAAATAATGGTACTTCACACCATTAAATAGCACCACATAAGTTGATTTACGTTAACGATCTTTTTACTTGCATGCATCTATCTCTCAATGGTTCGTACACTTTTTCAATCTAGTTTAGTTTTAGAACATGATTAATGGTAGTTCTTAGGATTTAGGTTCTTAGTGATATATAAAAAAGCGTATCGTAATTTTTAACTAAAAAAATGAAGAATCAATTCTGAAATATGTCTTATTTAAGAATTAAGAACTATTTTTTTTAGTTTAAAGTTAAGAGACGTTATTTTATATTTCTTCGTCCTAAGAATTCCCATTAATCATGTTTGACAAAAAAAAAATCCATTAATCATGTTTTTATTTGCATTATATTTTGTGTGGCCCTAATTTATGAGTGATATATAGACACTATGAACGACTCTAATCAGACTGCAAGAAAAACAATGCCATAAATATGAAAACAGAGGACATATGCAGGTATAAAATAAAAATATTGTTATACTAATAATTATAATATTCAGATCTTAAAAATTAAAGAGTCTGGAGTAGAACTCACTTCATTTGCGTCAGAATTCCCGGGAAAACAAAAAGGAAAAAACAAAATGTCGGTTTCACTTCATAAATTTCTCACTCATTTTCCCGGAAAGTTACAAAGGCATTCCTTTTTCAGGTTCTCAAGTCAAGTCACAGAAACACAAGAGTAGAACACACAAAAAAAAAAAGCTGGAGCTTTAGCTATTTTTGTATTCTTGAAACATGATCTTGACTTTCTGATTTTTATAATTCTAATTCAGAGAGCTCTCAGAAAGTGTGAGATAATGTTGGCACTAATGAATTGTGCTTCTTCATCTTTCTCATCCTCTTCATCTTCTTCTTCTTCATCCTCTCCCACTTCTTCCTCTTCATGTTCTCCAAGGTAAATGAATTTAATTGTGTAAGAGATTGTAACTTTATATATGTTAAACTTACATAGATGTTCATATGTTCTTTGCTTGTAGGAACAGAGAGAACATGGTTCTGCAGAGTGGTGTTGATGTGTCATCTCCAACTTTCTCTTCAGACACAAAACTTGTACTGTTTCAAAATCATCTCAATTTTTATATTCCTTTTTTCCTAAAAAGCAAAAAAAAAAAAAACTTTCTGAAATGTAACTTACTTCAGGGTTTGTATGGTTTGATGATGTAATTCTAATGAATATATGTTTTTATTTTCTACTGAATTGCAGATTGATAAGAGTATAATTACTCACAAAAGCTCCAATCTCTGTCTCATCCCAAAGGTTTTGTTTATAATATAATTTTAATATATAATTTCTTGTTTTGCTATGTTTACTGATAATCTTTTTTTTTTGTTTTTTAAAACAGTCTTCAGAAGAATTGAAGAAAGAGATTGCTTCCATCGAGTTAGAGATTCTACAAATGGAACGTTACCTATTGTCACTATACAGAAAATCTTTCGAGCAGCAAGTTTCTTCCTTGTCTAATCTCTCTGCAACAACGTTACCACGTTCATTGACCACTTCACCATCATCATTAACTCTCTCAAACAACTACCAAGCTTACGAGAAACCCATCTCGTATCCTAGGTGTTTCAACACTAGCTTGAAAGCCTTATCTTCAAGAGTAATTTTAACCTAAAGTTTTTATAACAAATTAATATTATACAAAACTTACTTGTTTATGTGTGTGTGTTTTTTTCAGGAAGGGACTAGAGAAGTATCTGGTAAGCAGAGTCTTGGAGAGCTTCTTGGATCATCTCATATAGTTGATGATCAACACAACTTTATAAACCCTAATAAACTCTCTGAAGATATCATGAGATGCATATCTTCTGTGTACTGTACACTTTCAAGAAGCTCAACACCAAGAAGAGATTCCTCAGCTTGTTTCTCTGCTTCTCCTCTTTCATCATTGTCGAATTCATCAACCCTTTTCTCTTCAAAATCCGATAAATGGAGTATGCATTGCGCTAGTGAGGATCGTTTGATGAATCATAGTAAAGATCATGGCAATGTTTTGCCTTGTGGTGCTCTTGTAATAGATGCTCTTAAAGTACACTTGGATGATAGTAGTTTCAGTTACGCTGCTCTTATGTTGCAAAAGTTCAGGTAACAATTTTGGATTATTAGATTTTTTGGTTACAAAAACCTTTTGTTATTTGTATCATGAACATTATTTGTGTACAGATCATTGGTTCAGAATCTTGAGAAAGTTGATCCGAGTAGAATGAAACGCGAAGAGAAGCTTGCGTTTTGGATTAACATTCACAATGCTCTTGTAATGCATGTAAGTAAATAAGGTCTATTTCTTGTGATGCATGTGATTAAATCTTTATTTGTTTTTTTTCTTCATATTGTAATCTTTTTCTTTGAAGGCTTACTTAGCTTATGGAACTCACAACCGTGCAAGAAACACCTCTGTTTTGAAGGTTTTAATCTTATAATATTATATAAATTTATCATAACATTTATGTAAATTTTCTCTAAGCAAATTCTCTTTATAAAAAAACAGGCAGCTTATGATGTTGGAGGCTATCACATAAACCCTTTCATCATTCAAAGCTCAATCTTAGGAATCAGACCTCATTACTCATCACCATCACCTGTATTTACCCTTTCATTTTTACTTTCACTTTTACCTTTTCACCACATCATATTAAACACTTATTATTACCATTTTGCAGTTACTCCAAACACTGTTTTCACCTTCAAGAAAGTCCAAAACGTGCAGTGTTAGACACGTTTACGCATTGGAATACCCAGAGGCTTTAGCTCATTTCGCTATATCTTCAGGAGCATTCACAGATCCCACGGTAATAAACTAGTTACCAACTCAACTCTAAATGTTTACTGTTTACTCTTAACAGTAAATAAATATATTGTTAGGTTCGAGTTTACACTGCGGATAGAATCTTCAGGGATCTAAGACAAGCGAAGAAAGAGTTTATAAGAAGCAATGTTCGTGTTCACAAAGGGACAAAGATTTTGCTGCCAAAGATCTTTCAGCATTACGTTAAAGACATGTCAATGGATGTGTCTAAGCTCATGGAAGCAACAGCTCAGTGTTTACCTGAGGATGCGAGGAGGATTGCTGAGAAATGTTTGAAGGAGAAGAAGAGTAAGAGTTTTGAATGGTTACCGGAGAACTTGAGTTTCCGGTATGTCATTGCCGGAGAATTGGTGGGAGGAAGAAACAATACCTTATGATAGGTCTTAGTACTTTTTATTCATAGGAGTTTTTGTGTGTTTGGCCAAAAGATGTGATTAAATAATTTAAATAACCGTTAGTGTTTGATTTCATATATTTGTATTTCAGACTGGTGTAAAGCAAGAGTTTTTTCAATTGAAAAAAATGTAGAATTGAGTTTTTTTTTTGCATGATCCACTAGGAAACGAAACTCAGGCATTTGCGCAGGCATATGAATTCTTTGATTAAGGATGTGATTGGCTATTGCTGTAGATGCTCTCCACAGCCATAATTATACTTACATCCCTATATCTACACCAATCATGATTTTTATTTTTTCTAAAGCTCACAGCCATTTTTTTAATTCTACAGCACTTCTTTAAATTCATGTCTTTATAATTGCTCTGCAGAGACAAATACTTACAGCTCATATTTAAAGGCTTTTAAAAATTAAAAATCTAAAGCCAAAGCAAAAAAAATCACAGCAATATTTCTACAGCCAAAAAATAAAATCACAGCTCTTACCAATCACCCCCCCCCCAAAAACTTAATCTATTTTGACAATAGATTACTTCTTATACCTAATATTTTATATTTTATTTACTTAAAATTTTATTTTGTTTTATTTATCTCATACATTTATTAACTTTTTATGAGAGATGTATACAAAATAAACTTGTTGGAGGGTTTTGATGAGTTATATGAATGAACCAGGGTCGGCTCGCCATACGGGCGGATATGTTTACATTAAAATTATTTTATATTGAAATATAATGTAATATTTTAGAACATTTTAAATTTACTTCTAATTAAATATAATAAATATAATTTGTTTTCTAATTAGATCATATATATTTATCTAGTTAACATTTGTCATTTGTTTAAAATTCTTATGCGTTTGGATTTTTATTTGTTATCAACTATATTTTGTGACATTGTACTTTTTTATTTTCAGTATTCATTTCAGTTATATTTTTAACGGAAATATTTTCTCTTTGTATTGTATTTGCATGAATTACTTTTTTTTCCTCGTCTTGCATGACATTATATGTGTGGTATTTTATTAATATTTTTTAATTGTGTGATAGAGTTTTATGTTTGATTGTGGTATATCTGAATGTATTCTGTGATCCGTGGTTATGAGTGTGTCTGTAACAATGTCTTTGTTTACTCTTTTTTCCTGGTCAACTACCCTGTTTTGTTGGTATGAATAATTACTTCTTATTTTCCCTAATTTTATTGAACTGAATTGAAACTGATATTTGAATGACATGGAAATAATTTCGCTCGTTTTGTGGACTATTTCTTCTTTTTCTATGCATAAATTTGTGGGCTATTTTAATTTCGTTCTCTGGTTTTTCGGTGCAACTAATTTCGAGTGTCTTCGTTCAGTTATGCCCAACTGATTCTTGTATTCATTTCATATGAAACTTCCATAAATTTCACCATTTTCTTATATATATTTATATTTTATGCATCAAGCCCTAGATTCAAACATAACTTATTTGTAAATATTTCCTGAATAACATTTTAGTAATTTATTCTCACCTTGTAAATTAAGTTCGAGAAAATAGTTATATAGATGAAACCAAAATCCAAAGCAAAACAAAACAGTCAAACAACCAAGACCATATTATCATCTTTTATTTCATCGTATGTAAAAAAATGCTTGCAAGTTCTGGTAGCTTTACCATTTGGTTTGCAGCAATCTCCAGCAACATGAACTTCATCGTTGGCCTCTGTTTAAGAAACTGAACTCTTCGTAAACTTTGGAGTTGTGTAGCTGCAGGAACATTTATGAAAGAAACAGCAGGGTGGAATTATAACTAAAACTTAGTGTAATTAAAAAAATATCTTACATTTGGTGTCCTAACAATGTAAATCAGTAGTCTTTTGGTGTCTTGTCTTTGTTGGGCCTTTTTTAATAAACCTAATGTATTTATTCATGTGTGAGTATTAGCAGGAACAGCTTAGAGAAGAATCTCCAAAACACTTTCGGGATTGTGTATACTGTAAGTTAAGACTTGGACTTCCTTTTCCAGATTATTCCGTTTACTGTAATGTTAACGATGGATAAAATTATTTTGTTGTTTATTTATAGCTTTTCAGTTTGTTATATTTGTCCAGGACAGTGGATGGTAGTAATGGGACGATCGGACAGTTCTTTAGAGTCAGTTTGATACACAGTGGTTACTTGGCCGTCAAGGAATGAATTATACAAATGTGCGTGTTGATAAGTGTGTCTGTTATAGTTTAATTGTAGTGGGTGTGTAAGTTTTTTATAGTTGCTTACAGCATCATTGTTGCATGTTTCTTAGGCGGATTTCCTAGGGAAACATAAGAAACTATTTCTTAATTTTTAATTGAAAAGTTAAAAAACTGTTTCTTCAAATCTACATTACAAATCATATATGGTGGACGAATGCAGAGAAGGTTCTGGTCATTTAGAAGCTTCCTCTTTGGCGTTTCGCTTGGATATTTCTCTATGATCCACACTAGATTGCTTCCTCTTCTTATCAGATTGTGCTTCAAGCTCCCCATTTTTCACATCCATGTCATAAGGACTCTCAACTTTTATGATTAATCCCCTGCTTTTCGCGTCTTCAACAAGAGCATCCCAGTTGAGATCGTATCTTTCCAGAGTTTTTGTGTTGCACAAAACCCAAATCGACAACTTTGGTCTTGTAAGAGCCACATTTATTCTTCTAGGATCCGACAGAAACCCAATGCTCCCAAAGTTACTAGTTCTTACTGTGGATAAGATGAGGATGTCTACCTCTCTGTCTTGAAAGGCATCAACAGTGCTTATATGCATGTCGTTGACCAATCTTCTTCCAAATTCTCTCATGAAGAGATCACGTTTGTACGGAGTAATGACTCCACACCTTCCGGCAAGAAAGTTGGAAGGATAGCTGCACTCAAAAACCACAACAAATGAAAATGAATAATTCAAATAACACGTTGAACAAAGAGAGAGGAGATGTAGTTAGTGGTTACATGTATTTGAATAACTTGACAAGGTTAACAACAACTTGCGCTTCTCGTGTATTGGAGGTGGAGGTTAAATGTCCACCTTCATCTCTGCCGTCATGCACATTGTAGATCAGATTTAGGTGTAGAAGATGATTGTTGTGAAAGACTGTATTTTTTCTGGCATGCTGACAACATCCAAAAGCTTCTTGTTGTAGAATTACTGAAGGGAATTTTGATATCTCTCTATGCATCCTACAATGTTTTGTGGGGACAGAAGTATTAGCAAAAACTAAAAGATGACAGGAAATAAAAACAATCTATCTGCTCAGTAAGAGAAATGATTGGATGCCCAACTTTTTGCATGCGCTCAAACATGCTGCACTGATAGTTGTATTTGATAGCCACGTTGGATAAAAATGGTTGCAGGAAGCTGCTTATGATCTCCAAACTTTAATATTAACAGAGGTCATTACTCGTGTCTACTCACCTCATAGCTGAGTAGTTAAATTAGCATAAATCATTTAATTAGAATACGTTAGAAAAATATCATTATGTAAAAGAAAATTAAATAACTAAGCTAACAAAAGAATTATAAAGTTTAATACATTTGCATTCAGTCTTACAAAATTAGTGCAAGTTTTCAAATTAGCTTTTATAACTGATTTTATCAATAGATCAAATAGCCATGACTCCATCTATTATAAACCTTAAACAAAGATAAATTTTGGCTACTTAAATTACTAAAAAGTACTACACTTACCACAACAAAAATTTGAAACAAATAAATATATTCTATTAAAATACTAATAAATATTAAACATGTCAGAGAAGATAGAGTTAAAATTGTAAAATTAATGATAATTTGACGATTTAATGGCTGCCAAACAAAACAAATGAAAATAAAACTATAAAACGTGTTTAACGTAAATTTATTATGTTTATATTATTTATCCACTTAATTAAGTCGAAATGATTAAAAACAAACAATTAGTTCCAAAATTTTTAAAAAACATATACCTAAAAACAATTATAGTAGAAATATTAAATATATCAAATTGATGATTGTAAGTTATGGTAAATTATATATATTTTTTAATCAATGTTTTCAATTTGGATTTTGGATGTCAATTATTAAACTTTAAACTTAATATGTTTTTAAAGACCACTGAAATTCATTATTACAAAATATAAATAAATGAGATAGGTTTAACTTCTGAACCGGGCCTCTATACATACTCTAATTTAAAGTTTCGTAATAGTATCAGTGTGTCTCTGATTAAAAAAAAAGAAGAAAGTCGCTTCCTTTGGATACTTTGACAACTAAATCAGCGATCAGAAGGAGAGGGCGAAAATGGAATTGGAGCAGCTGGAGAAGTCCGTTGAGGCGAACCCACACGACGCTTCTCTCCAATTCCAACTCGTAAACACCATTATTCACTTCCTATGAGTTTGATTGATTCTATGCTCTGCTTTTGAACAAGAAAGTTTAAAACTTTATTGATTCTGACCAAAAAAAAAACAGGGTTTGTATCTGTGGAACAACGGCGGCGGAGATTCAGAGAAAGCGGCGGCGGAGCGTTTCGTGCTGTCGGCCAAGTTAAACCCGGACAATGCGGCTGCGTTCAAGTACTTAGGGCATTACTACTCTCGTGTGACGCTTGATGGGAATCGAGCTGCTAAATGTTACCAGAGAGCGGTGTTGCTGGACGTTAATGACTCTGAGTCTGGAGAGGCTTTGTGTGATTTGTTGGATGGGCAAGGGAAAGAGATTTTGGAAGTTGCGGTTTGTCGTGACGCTTCTGAGAAGTCTCCTAAGGCTTTTTGGGCGTTTTGTAGATTGGGTTACATTCAGGTTGTTTGAATTGTTTTTAAAGTTTTGACCTTTTGATATCTTGAATTTGCTCATCTTTGGATTGTGTTGTGTTGTGTTGGCAGCTTCATCAGAAGAAGTGGTCTGAAGCTGTTCAGAGTCTTCAACATGCTATTAGAGGGTATCCTACAGTGTCTGACTTGTGGGAAGTAATACTCCGTTTCTTGATCTCCTCAGATTACGTCAGTTAAAATATATGTTGTTTACATTATTTGTCTGTGGTTGCAGGCTCTGGGCCTTGCTTACCAGCGACTTGGAATGTTTACTGCTGCTATCAAGGTAAAGAACAAGCTGCTTCAATTTTAGACTTTTGTGGTTGGTTCTGGTATGACCTTGGTTCTCAATGATATAACAGGCGTATGGCCGTGCCATTGAATTAGAAGAGACCAAGATTTTTGCATTAGTGGAGAGTGCGAACATCTTCTTGATGCTTGGTTCATTTAGAAAGGTAGCTGCGTCTCTTCATCATACTGACTGCTTTTGAGAGTTTGTTCATGTGGAAGTCTCATGTAGTATTTGTATAGGGTGTTGAGCTCTTTGAGCAAGCGCTGAAGATTTCACCTCTGAATATTTCTGCGCTCTATGGTCTTGCTTCTGGATTGCTTAGTTGGTCAAAAGAATGCATAGATTTGGGCGCATTTGGATGGGCTGCGTCGTTATTGGAGGTTACTACTAATACTAATCTCTTCTGATTATGTCCTCCTCTCATCCATATTGGATAAAACCTTACTCCGATAACAATTAATTGAAATTCTCTTTAGGATGCTCGTAAAGCTGCAAAAGCAAGCACTGAACTGGCCAGCAACATGTCTTCTATATGGAAATTGCATGGAGATATCCAGGTACTGAGGCCTGTTTTGTATTATGCGCATTAGCATGTTTTGGTTATCTGGTCTTCGAATGTTTGTTTTGTTTCTTGAGCAGCTTACATATGCAAGATGCTTTCCCTGGTCTGGAGGAACTGTAAACTCAGATTTCAGTTTAAAGGCATTTAATGATTCAATCCTTTCGTGGAGAAGTATTTGTTACTCAGCTGCACTGTCAGCCAAATCTTCGTACCAACGAGCTCTACACTTAGCCCCTTGGCAAGCCAATCTATATACTGACATAGCCATAGCATGTGATCTCGTTTCAAGTTTAAGCGATGACTCTGAAACTCCTAGTCCTTGGTAAGACTGTACTAATAAACGTTAGTTCGTATTTTCTTAATTTTTGATGTGCGCTCTTGTAATAACAGTCTACAATTTTATCAGGAAGCTACCTGAAAAGATGGCTCTGGGAGCGTTATTGTTGGAATGTGACAACTCGGAGTTCTGGGTTGCTTTGGGTTGTATGTCTGGTAACAGTGCTTTGAAACTACATGCTTTGATCCGGGCATTGCATTTGGATGTATCTTTAGCCGTTGCTTGGGCTTTTATGGGTCAGGTATTGTGCCAAAGCATTTTTTTCTTTTTTGTTTCATCTATGTTCATTATTTCATTCCTTTTTCCTGATATGTAATATTGGTTGCATTAAACAGATCTTCAGGGAATCAGAGGAAATGAAATTGGCAAAGCAGGCTTTTGATTGTGCTAGAAGCATCGATCCTACACTTGCACTACCTTGGGCCGGCTCAGCTGATACTTATGCTAGGTATATGCTTTTTATGTGAAAATAATCCTTTTTAGCTAAAATTCTGCACCATAGACTAATTATCTTTTCAGGGAGTCAACATCAGATGAGGCTTTTGAGAGTTGTTTACGAGCTGCGCAGATATCACCTGTAAGTGCTACTCTTACGTTCTTGTTAGTGTGATAGCTTTAACTAATGTGTGATCTTCTGTCTAGCTTGCGGAGTACCAGGTTGGTTTGGCATGGCTTGCTTTGCTGCAACGTAATATTTCATCTCCGCAGGTATGAACACACATATATCCTAATAATATCTACACACTATTCTCATCGGAATGAGCTTGTAAGTAACACACCCTCTTGAACCTCTGTTGCAGATTTTCGCTTGCATTGACCAGGCGGTGCAGCGCACCCCTGATTACCCTGAATCCCATAACCTCCATGGGCTAGTCTGCGAGGCAAGACAAAACTATCATACTGCCATTGCTTCGTACAGGCTAGCACTGGCTGCAATGAGTGTTTGCCCCGACAATTCAGTGAAATCTCATGCAGGAAAAATATCTATTAACTTGGTCAGGTCACTCAGCAAGGTGAGATCCTCATCCTTCTTTCTGTTGGCAACATTTTATCCATCAATCAGTAGAAATGCAACTATAGTATTCAATTAAACTATTTGTTTTGCAGGCAGGACGATACAAAGAATCTGTCAAGGAATGCGCAAATTTAAAGTCAAAAGGTTTGCTTGATGCTGGAGGCTTGCAGATCTATGCCTTCTCTCTGTGGAAGATTGGTGAGAATGATTCGGCTCTCTCAGTGGTTAGGGAGCTGGCTAGTAGGATTTCTACCATGGAAAAAAAATCAATAGCTTTCCCAATCAGCTTAATCTGTAGTCTGCTTTATTGCATATCTGGACTGGATTCTGCTATCACCAGCATCCAGAAAATGCCAAAGGATTTCTTCCAGAGTTCGAAAATCAGCTTTATAGTATCTGCCATTCATTCTCTTGACCAGAGTGATAGACTTCAGTCGATAGTTGCAAGCACTCGCAGCTATATAACATCACAAGAAGAAATAGTTGCAATGCACTATTTGATAGCACTTAGCAAACTGGTGAGCCTTTTGATCGTGGTTCGTTTTGGAATTTTTCATTGGTTTAAACTCTGTTTACATTGACACCACCTTTGAATATTGCAGCTGAAAACTGGAGCAGGAGAGTTCCTCGGATTTGAGAAGGGGATTGCCCACCTCAGAAAAGTTCTGCATATGTATCCTCATAGTAATTTGTTAAGGTGAGTGTTCAATCTTTTTTTTTTCTTTTTTCTTGAATACCAGTGGGTTCAGAGCGGAAGCTCGTAATCCTTCATTCCAAAATCACAACATTTAATATTAGTTTCGTCCTAACGGTCACTAGAACTGTGGATGGGGACTTACAATGGTCTGAGACAATGGTCTGAGACAATGGTCATCATATCTAGGTTTTAATTGTGTAATGATATGTTGTTATTGTAATTATAACTCGGAAATATAATTTGTTGGAATTAGGAATCTGCTTGGATATATTTTGTTAGCTGGTGAAGGAACGAAAGAAGTCTGTACTGCTAGTAGATGCTGTATTATAAATGTCTCTGAGTGTGGAAGCAAGGAAGGTCTGAAGTCTGCTTTAGAGGTCCTTGGTGGAGGATCGGTTGCTTGCAATGTAATCGGCA